AACTTGAAAAAGTGTTGAAGCATTTTTCCCAAAGGTTGATCTTCTTTCTAAAACCTGTTGGTTATAATTATTTCCACCTGCCACTAGAATGAAAACCTGTAGACCTATTGCCTCCACTCCCATCTTTTCACTCTTGGCAAACACTTTGCTGCCCAGGGACCTCATTCAGAAGTCATCACTTAAGTTACATATTAACCAATATTTCATCTGTCTCCTCACTGAGGAGAAGAATTTTAAATAATTAGTTTTCCTCACAGCCACTTTGTCTTTACTTTCCTTTGTCAATATGCAAAGGCAGCAGCCCCAGTATAGCCCCACTGCAGGACCTGGCCATGTAAATTATTAGAGATGAAAGCTGTGAAGATGATAGATGAGTGAAAGGACAGCTTTATCACTACTAGGCTGTCTACCATATTCAGATTTGGCATTAGTTCAAATAAAACTGTTGATTTTCGGTGGTTATCTTCGCTAATAACTCTCCTAAAGAGTCAGGAGTGTGGCTCTGCTGGAGGAAACGCAGGACTAAAAGTCAGACTGCCTGCCTGCTGCTGGCTGACTGAGCAGGAAACACTTCAGAAAAAGGTTTACTTACTTCAAGGGGCATCCCTCAAGTTTCTAAAGAAATATTTAAATCTTTAGATGAATATGGCTATTTAGCCTTAATGTGACATTGACCATCAGAGGACAATACAATGAAACAAGAGCAGGACAGTCAATAGTTCTTTGCTAGCTCATTTTTCTTAATTTCTGAGTGTGATTCTGGTTGATAAAGATAATCTCCATAAACTACACCAAATTGGCACCTATTTAAAGGACAAGTCCCAGCCAGATCATCCCATTTACTCCCTGAAGGCTGCAGCCTCCCTTCCCCAGGTGCTATTTGTACTATGATGCACGTTTCATTGAAGTTGCAGATCAAAACCTCTATTGAATGAGTCTTCACAACACAGGATTTTATGGAAAATACAGCTATGCAACCTCTACCCTAAACCAGTGCCAAACAGCAAGACACAAGTAGTTTATCAAGTAGTTTCACTGGATTTCTTTTAAGGTCCTTTGTTATACCTGATTGCTCACAACAAAACGTAGTTATAGCTGCATTCCTGGCTCCATCAATAAGCCACTTGATTTCCTTACTATTCTGAAGCACTTCCCAAGCTTCTGCTAATAATTTTGCTTGACCTTTATTAAAGACCAAGCATTAGCTGGCAATTATATTTGGTGATCCGTTTGGTGATTGGCACTCAGTGATTTACTGTAAATTATAAATAGTTCAAATGTTTCATTATGTTTATTCTTTATACAAGCTTTGTGGCCAGGTAAGCACTGACATGACATTCACTGTTAAATGATCTCATTAAACTTCTTAATTTAAGTGGTGCAACACTTCACCTGACACATTATCCAAGGACTCCTGCAATGCACATTAAACATTCAGCATCAATAGATGCTCTACCATAGTTCACCTTGTTGGGAGTGAAATTTCAGTCCCTGAACATAAGGTTGACTACCTGATGCTGTTGTCAGAGACAATAAATAATGCAAATAAATACCCATGTAAAGTAAGAGGTTAAAGACATCAATAGCCTTCCACAGAGTTTTGAAAAAGGCTTTCAAAACAAAAGACTTTAAATCATGAAAAAATGCCATTGAAATTAAAAAAGTTAAAGAAAAGCAAGGAAGGTGCTGGTTTCTTTTGTTTATGAATGCAACTGACTGTGAGAGATGATTTGTTGAGAACCCTGAAAGTATGTGCCCTTTTTTTATTCACAACCCCCATGCAAAAGGAAGAGCAGTCACACAACCTCCCACCTCAGAGTTGCTTGTAGAGGTCTGTCTTTCACATTTCATCCCTCATTTTCCTGCTGAGAATGTTTAACAGAGCTGAATCGAGTCAAGCTTGGATAATGCATGACATCACTTCACTTAGGCCAATAACTAGCATATTGCCTCATGACTAAAGAGAAACACAGTATTGCTGTTGGAGGCACCTTTATGTCCAGACTGTTTGCCAACAATTTCTACTGCAGTAACAACCAGAAGCACATGGATTAGGACCTCCTTTGTGCTAGGTGCTCGACCTACAGACTCCACAAACTACACATGAAGGCATAAGGAAGAATAGTACGGGTATCTGAATTTATTTTTTTTACACATTTTTAATTGTCTCCCTCCCAAAATTAATGTTTCTAATATTTTTCTTCCCCTGTCTTTATATAGTATGATCCTTGACATCTGCTTCTGGATGTCTCTTCTGAAGGATGAAGGGCTCCTAGCAATTGTAATGTAGCCTGTGAACATATCAGATTGCTCCCTAGACAGATTTAAGCTTCATCATATAGTATTAACCCCACATACTGAATGTGTTTTTCTGACTTATAAGACTGGATTATCTTTTATTATCAGAAGAGAAGCAGTAAAGGTTTCAGTGTTACAGATGGAATGGCAGATGGGAAGTGAAAGCTTAATGTGAAGCAGCTCTGGATAAAAAATATTAATCCACAAAATTCATATGTTCTTAGGCAGGGAAACCTAGCAAAAACCACTGCAATACGACTAACCAGTGATTGAAGTGTAAACTGCCCCTAGCCCATTATCTGACAAATCATGGCATGAGTTCTAAAAGAATAAAAAAAACCCCTCAAACACTATTTTTACTATTTCCTGGAAAAACAATCAACTCTCTATGGGGTATGCAGAGAGGCAATGCTTTCCTAAAGATTCTATAGAATATTAATTTATAGCACCTCCACTATGAAAATGAAATGGATCCATATATATTGATGAGATAACATTTTCCAGGGTTTATAGCTGTAATATTCCATCTTCAAAAAGATTTAACAGTACCCATAAGTCACTGTCATTAAAGTTGTACCAATGAAAAAAGGCTTTTTACTTTTCCTTGAAGTGCATGGTGTGGAGAGGAAGCACATTTCCATCAGTTCTGGTAACAGAATACTTTGACAGAAAGGGAAGCGAGCACTTCAGATGCCTGCCTAGCTGCTGAGAGCCCACCACGCAGCTCTGAGAGCGGCTGCAATGGAGAAGCGTGACCTTCAAGAATTTCCCCCATGAAGAAACAAGTGCCTGGAATTCTTCCAGTTGAATGGCACTTGTTTAGAGTTGAGTGACTGCAAGATCCCATAGCATTATTACAAAGAATCCATTAACACTGAACTGACTACAGTCTACTCAACAAATCCTGTGACTGTTTACAGCCATGTCTGTAAGTGACTGATCCCATCTGGCCTTGTGGTTTAACCTGTTCCACATGGAACCAAGAGCAGTCGAGACCACCACAGGTCATGGCCTCAGCATTACATAATGTTTAGGGTGGACTCAACACCACAGAAGGGTAACAGGATACATCTGTTGGAACTAGTCTATAATTATGCTAGACCTCCAGCAATTATTCTCCCACAATTTATCTTACTTGATTCAAAGTGCCATCAACTACCTCCTCCAAACTGGTCTTGCAATAGTCTACCTTTTACCATCAGTGCAGTATTCCTCACCGGGAAAGTGAACAATAGGGAATAACAAGCTACCTTTTCCCAAAACTCAGGAGATACACAGAGAACTACATACTCTTCCTTATAAGCAAGAGAATATGTCAAAACTGTTAGGTCTTTTCCTGTTGGACACCAAAAGTGTTTAAATCAGATGCAACGTGAAATGCCGATTTCTTAATTCAAATCCCCATGTTCCAATATCAATGCAGTTTCTGTGACTCTTGTGCTCTTCTCTAATTTTTGTCCCCAAACTGTGTTGCATTTCACTGACAGTGCTTAGAAATGGGCACCAGCAATAAAGCCTTCTGGCAGTTCTCAGAAAATCTTAAGGCATACGCTCATGGGTTTTTCCATTTTTCACTTCAGTGGGGATTTCTGTCTGAGTAGCAGCTTCAGGAAGGGACCCATACTTTGAGAAAGATGTTGCGGAAACTTAGCAGTGAAAGGCAGTGAAAGCATCTGATATATTTATTTTCTGAGTATTAAAAGCACATTATGTCATCATTCATCAGAAAATAGCCTAAGAAAGTTACTTCCCCTTGCATCAATTCATTTCAACATACAGGGAAAGAGAAGTCACAAGGAGAATTTCCTCTTTCCTTCTTGATATCTCATGATACAGCCTCAAACCAACAGTTTAAGGACACTTTTTTTTTAGGGGGGTGGTGTTGGGTCTTTTTTGATTTTTAGGGTGTGAGGTTTTTGTGTTGTTTTTTTGTGGGTTCTTTGTTATTTTTGGTTTGTTTTTTTTTTCAGACTATCTACTTTTGCACAATGTAGTAAACTTTATGGAATGCAGCTGTGGGGCCTGAGTATAATTTCACTTAAAGTCACAAGCCTTGTCATGTGATGGTGTGAGAAGTTCTTTGCGTGATGCCATGTGAATAAAGATATTCAGGCAATGGTTGGTGCTGAAGAGGCAACTGACTCCTATCAACTTTTTTGTCACTATCATTATTCTCACAGAAAAAGTACCAAAAAAACAAATGGGAGAGGAGAACATTATCTTCACTGAATCTATATTCATATCTTTAACATTTTCTGAGGCATCAAATCAAAGTGTTTATCAGAACCCTGGGAGGGAAGAATGCCTCCATGCTTGGGGTCTATTGTAGAGCTCCAGTACTTCCTACTACTTAACTCATCCTCTCTTGCAGGTGTCCCTTGCTGGAAAAAACAACTGAACGGAGAAGTCCCTGCTTCACCAGTACAAGGGAAAAACTAGTGCTGCTAGCCTGCTCATAGCCACAGTTCCTCCTAGGTAAGCAGCAGGCACACAGGAGTACAGTAACGTGATCATGTCCTTGGCTGAAGTGTGGCTGTCAGACCCCAGCCTCACCAAGAGGTGTCTTCTGCTGTAAGACAGAAGAAAGTGCCCCTCTGACCTCTGCTACTTGCCACACAGCACGGACAAGTCATCCCTTATATCATTCAATAGATATTTACTTTAGGAAAAAAACATGTACATTCATAAAACACTTTTGGTACCTGATTGGGTAGTCAGCAGCACTGAGGTTAATGAAGAAATCCCATGGCCAGTCATTCATCTCCATTAAGTCCCTCATGGTCTGCAGGTAGGTGGACAGAAGACTTGCTCCTCCCCAGATAGTTGCCATTCTCCAAGAAGTGACTCTCACATTTGGGTACTGGTTGGCAAACTGGAGCACTTGCCGGTGCAAATAATTGGATCTCTTTACAGGAGAAAAAAGTAATATATTCAAGTTACTCTGTCCAAAATTGTCCATCCCTGTATTCACTAACCACCAACTCTACTTCTTGACTCACTAAGTGTTGCCATTGCTTTGCCCTCGCTTACTATGGTACACAATCTTTTTTTGCTAAATGCTAATTTGGAAATGTACAGAGACCCCTGTTTAGTTCTTTTTATTACAACTAAAGTAATCACTAATCAGTATAACTAGCTCTTATTTATCATTTCTCATCAGTAGATCAGTAGAAGGGCTTTTGTAAAGGAGGTGACTGTTACTATCTCTCTTAGAGCGTGAAGTAAAGTGACTTGCCCAAGGCACCTTGGGTCAGCTCTCCATCCAGTGGGCCACTACTATCAGTCTGCATCAACTTACCAATTACTGTTAACTAAATGTACAACAGACAGACATGGATAGATACTCATATAGACACATAAGGAGAAATGAAGGCTGTTACACAGAGAAGACAACAAGAAAGAAAAGAAAAAAAAAGAAGCTCCAAACATATAACAGATGAAGAGACAAAAAGTGACATGCACACTATGCAGCAGAGGTGAAGAGAAGATAAAGAAGGTGACAAAGATGGCTAGACTGACAGATGGCAAGACAGGCAATTTATAACCAGTGATATATTACCTTGTCAACATGAATGTAATAAAAATGGTCTTTATGGTAAATAGCCTTAAACATGCGTTGGAGTTGCCGAGAAGCTCTGCCATGAACAACCAAGACAAATGCGATCCTGACTGGGTTGGCTGGCATGTATTCTACGGAGTCCTCATCCCACTGTACATTGTTGTTGGCTTTTCCTGTTCAAAAACAAAACACAGGACATCTCTGAGTGTATCCACAGGGCAGGGGTGCAGAGAGCAGTACACATTTCACCTCAGGCCTTCCTTCAAATGCAGTTTCTAAGGAGAAGTGAGAACTCACGAGGGGTGCCAGCCCACGTGCCATAACAATCATACCCATCGCCTCCATCACTGTACAGGGTCATCACCCCCTGGGCAGCAGCCATGCCAGCCTTCCCCACAGAGCCCTGCCTGTGTGCCTCAACCTGGACAAGGCTGCATCAACACAGATAAGTACCCACATGTTTATGAGTCAGATCAAGCCTCACCTGGGTACACACATTTGTATCTTCAAAGGAATCACCTCAAAGTTTCTAAGCACTGTTCAAAGTATTCAAAAATGCCAAGGCCAAATTCACCCCTGCTCCCCCAGAAATTAAACCCCTCCGTTTATCAAAAGAAGCTCCTTCCCAGGATCAGCGCAGCTCTGCTGAAAAGCTGGTGAAACTCTGTTATTTAACAGCTGCTGAAGATTATCTGGACTGATAGCATTTATTTGTAAGAGCAGATGTATCCTGGAACATTTAAATGGCAACCTGCATATCTTCATTTCGTCATGTAGGAGACAGCCGTTTGCAATCCTATTTTAAAGTTATGTTCATTTTTATTTTAACTGAGGTATTTCTGGTCTCCATTTTCTAAAGCAAACACCACAGCGTAAGGTTAAGACAGTATGTACTGATTAACTGAAGAGCTGTGAGGACATTTTTAATCAGGAATTTAAAGTGCTTTGTTTTTGGTTTGTTTAACAGCTCTTCAACTCAAAAACCTGAACACAATGTAAGAAAAATACAATTTTATCCAAAGACTGACATTCATTCTTCAGTTATACAACCTCTTGAATGCTCTGACCTTGTAAGGACCTTTCTCAACACAAATGATTTAGGAAGAACCTGAAATTCTGAATATAAGCAGAACCAGGAAGGAAAGTATCTCAAAGCTCAAAAACCCCTTCTGCCCCAATTTTCCTCTTGCATATTTTAATTTTTTTCTTTTTAAAATGAAAGGCAATATCACTGTCTGAAAAGTTACTTAGTCTTTTCCCCCCTCCCCCAAAGGTACAATTTTTCAAAGTCCTAAGATCTGAACAGTTACTTTGGATTATTTCCTCTAAAAGGTAAAGCCATTTGACAATCTTGAAAAGTCTGAACTTCTGATTATATTGAAATACATATTTAATGTTTGGAAATGCATGTGAACACAGGCAGGACTCAAACATTCATTTCCCACTACAAGTAACGGTTTGGAAATGGCCATGTATGAGCTGAACCAGCTAAAATTAGCAGGTGCAATCATGTGTGAGAATGTTAACGCACCTGCCTTCAACCACAAGCAACTCTTCAGCCAAATAGGATACTTCAAACTCAGTGCACACCTATGTTCTCAATAAATAACCAGCTCAGTTAAACTCCCTGGTCAGGCTAGCAACCACAGGTGGGACAGGACTTTAATCTGCTTTGTTTGAAGGCGATTATCTCCTCTGCCTTCCCAGAAAAACACAGAACTGGGCTTTACACTCTTTTACAGCAACTACTAATCACCTTTATTTTTTAACTCACCAGCAAAAAAGCTGTTTTTTTCCTACCTTCCCAACAAAAGCCTGGGGAGCCAATTACGTGTCCAAGTGAGTTAGAGATAAATTGATGCCATTTAGCAGATTCCAGGTGTCCAGGGCAGATATTAATTCTACTACAAGTTAGAATTCTTTAAATGACTTGAATTTGAAAGGGACTCGGGAAGAAACCCTCAGCTAACTTGGGAGTGTAAGAGATGGACCTTCTAACAGCTAACAAAAGCCTCAGGTTTGAAAGAAGCATGAAACCCTGAGGAGCTCTAGCTCAACCATCCTCTTCAACTTGTCACAGATCCTCCCTTTTTTCCTAAAAACACCGAGGAGTGTATCTGGCTAAGTCACACCCAGTTTCTGCACTAGTGCCGTCTGGGACGCCCCCATGCTCCTCCAACCTCCAGGTACCCACCATCTCAAGATTCCTTTTGCAGGTAGTGGGGACACAATAGGCTTGTGCTAGGCTGCAGGATGAACCTGAGCCTGCACCTGGGCACAGTTATCAGACAGTGTGAGTACAGCCATGAAGGCCACCGCGCCTTCCAAAACACCTCCTACAGTTATTTAAAAAACATGCTTATGTCTGTCTGATTTGATAAAAGGAACAAGAAAGAAGACATTTGCCAAGTCTGAGAAGAGATTAAGCAAGACAGAAAGACACTTTTCCCAGGTTTTGGAAACTGGAAACATATGTTGATAAAAGTCAACAATACCAAAAGCTTTCCATTTTTAAAAGTATTAATTACAAAATGAAAGTTGGACGGAGGAAAAAAGCCTTTGCATAACTCTTCTTGTTGCATCTTCTCCTTATTAAAGGGAGTAGCATGAACTCAGAAAAAACGAGACTGACTGAACATTTGCAGAGCACTGTTTCAGGTTATCTGAACAATTTGATCCCCTTAACTGTACTGAAATGCCCTTAAATAAGTGGAACACTCCTTTTGGACAAAACCATGAGAGAGAGAGATCCTGCTGCAATGGGAACATCACATCCCAAAAAAGGGATGGTTACAACATCTCCCATAACCCTCCCTTAAAGTTTCTCCTCCTCAGTAGTGCTTCTCTAGCATACTTGCTTCAAGTCAAAATCTGTTCTTTCCATCCTGGAGGTCCAGGAAAGTTGTATGTGTAAGAGGTTTACCCAGTCTCTGGAACAAGGCTCTTTGCTGGACTATTTAAGGGGCTCAAAGGCAGCCATGTGCCTATCCAGGAATATACATAGATATGGAACACTAAAGAGCCTACAAAGTCCTAGAGGCACACCGCCCCATGTGAAAGACCCTTACCTCTCTGCAGCCCTTCAAGAAACATCTATCTTCAGTAGTACTGCTCATAAACTAATGCAACGTTATTGCCTCCAGTTGTATTCAGACTACCAAGTGTGAAATTTCTAGCCCCATGAGTCACTCAACTTTAAATGGAACACCAACAACTTTTTTCAAAAAACCCTCTACCACTAATTCAGTAAGACTCAGATGAACAGCCTTAAAAAATTAGAAAAAAGTGTAAATCTCATTTCTTCTATTATTTTCAGTTTGTTTATTATGGCCATTTGCCTATGCTCAGTTCTACTGTTTCTCCTGCACAGCTGATGAACTTCCCAATGTGTGTGCTTATGGCTTTTGCACTGCAACAGGGACAGAAAAGGACTGTAAAAGAAAGGTGTTTGGAAGAACAACTGACAGGGGAATGAAGAGCAATGGCAATTACTGAAACCACCCATTTTTCTTTTAAACTGCTTTGATTTCAAGCTGATGATGTCCCATCAATGGACTCAAATATTTTTAGTGGTTTTCATTAAATTTTTAGATACCTCTCTTCTGAAATTAGTGGCTTTCTGCAATGATATGCAGAAGGTGAAGGGAATTTAAAATAGCCATATTGTGGGTCTTTTATTTAAACTAACTTGCTTTCCGTACCCACACTACCATTTATCTAACAATTACTGAGAACAAAATCCTCCTAAATTTTCACCTGAAATGCCACCTCACTTCATTGGGTTTCTCTAATAAAGTCCTGTAGTGACTTATTTTCTTTTCTGCTATTTTCCTACTTACCATGTGCTCCTTCCTTCCTTCTCTTTTAGGTTTACTTTTTAAAGTCTCATTTTTCACCTACATATTATTATGGCTTCTTTAATCCTATTCTTGGCTGCCTGAATTTTACTAAGACAAGAATAACAGAATCACAGAATAATCTAGGTTGGAAAAGACTTTGAAGATCATCCAGTCCAACCATTAACCCAACATTGACAGTTCCCAACTCCACCAGATCCCTCAGTGCTATGTTGACTCTACTCTTAAACACCTCCAGGGATGGGGACTCCACCACCTCCCTGGGCAGCCCATTCCAACACCCAACAACCCATTCTGTAAAGAAATGCTTCTAAACCTTCCCTGGCGCAATTTGAGGCCATTCCCTCTTGTCCTATAGCTTGTTATTTGGTTAGAGAGACTCATCCCCGTTCTCTGCACCCTCCTTTCAGGTAGTTGTAGAGGGCCATGAGGTCTCCCCTCAACCTCCTCTTCTTCAGACTAAACATCCCCAGTTCCCTCAGCCGCTCCCCATCAGACCTGTGCTCCAGACCCTGCACCACCTCCATTGCCCTTCTCTGGACACGCTCGAGTCATTCAATGGCCTTTTTGTAGTGAGGGGCCCAAAACTGAACACAGGAATCGAGGTGCAGCCTCACCAGTGCTGAGCATAGGGGTGAGATCCCTTCCCTGCTGGCCACACTATTTCTGACACAATCCAGGATGCCATTGGCCTTCTTGGCCCCCTGGGCACACTGCTGGCTCCTGTTCAGCCGGCTGTCAATCAGCACCCCCAGGTCCCTCTCTGACTGGCAGCTCTCCAGCCACTCCTCCCCAAGACTGTAGCGCTGCTGGGGGTTGTTGTGGCACAAGGGCAGCACCTGACATTTGGCCTTATTGAAACTTATCGAATGTTGTATTTTTTCCATCTGTCAGAATATTTGCTGCTTCTGTTCCATAACTGTTACTTCCCTGGTTTTAGCCCACAGCTGATTAGTACCCTTCATTTTGCAACCTCTTCCACTGATAAAGAACCAGCCTGGTTTGCAAATAAGATTATATTGGTAGGAAACACTGAGTTGAATACGTGCTTATTAAAAAATACCATAAGACTTGAGAGCTGTATGAAGCATGTCAAGATCTAAATAGCTCTAGCCACTGCATTTCTATAAAACTTGTGCACACCAGGTTAATGCCTGCACGTTAATGACCTTCCTCTCACATAGGAGGGCATTGCCTTCTAGGTGTTAGGACAGAAGACATAGAAGAAGATGCATCAGATTATTTCACTTATTTGATTATCACTCACTATTCAGGAGTGATAAAAATCCAGAAGGATTTTAAGACAGTACTTCTAT